CCATTATTGTAAAAACTTAAGAAAAGATTTCCATACTAAAAGAAAAATTCCTTGATGGTTACCAGGGGTGGTCAGGAGGGGACAGTAAGGCACTGGTTAGGGAACAGACACAACAACCAGGTGCTGGAGAGAGCAATATACTTGGAAGGGGAGGGTAATTTATAAGAAGGGGGAGAGGATGGAAGAATAAGGAAGATAGGGGAACACTTAGGGAGGTTTGCAAGGGCTAAATGGGACAGAGGTGAATAGTGATGTATACCCAACCTTGGAACAACAGGGCTCTGTGATACAGCGATCAAAACATAGTCTGAATGAGTGAAAAAAGGGAAATAATGTTAAGGGGCTTGACTATCTTGTGGATATTGGTTTCCATTGCCCACTATTGTAAAATAGACATTTAAGTGGGATAGAAAGGAATACTGGGAAATATGATTACAGAAAACTTGTAAGCTTATCTTCAGACTATATAACAGATTAGAATACCTAAAAGGGGTATTAGAATTTTCCCAGCGAAATACGCTTCTTGTTAAGCCTTTGCAGAATATGGGGGTTTACATGGAACTCTGAGCCCCATCCAGACTCTAAAGGTGAGAAATTCTCATGTGAAAGGGCATGCAGATCAACCCAGTGCATCTAGGCAGCTAGTGGAACAGAAGATACTTCTTGAAAGAAAGATCATCAGGGGGGAAAAAAAAAACCACAACAAAAATCAAGGCATACTGTTTGGCTATTACAAGCACAAGCAAGCTGTTTGCTTGAGAACCATCAAGGCAAGAAAAGTCAGCCCATCAGGATAAACCCCCTTCCAAGACTGAAAGTCAAAGGGAACACACATGCAGGCTTGCAAGCTCACTGGTGATTGCCTTGGTCTACTTGTGAGTGGAAGTGGAGGAAATGCAGTAATGAAGACATGAGCCAAGTTCACCCATGTTCCATAGACTCCCATCAACCTTGAGATGAGAGAGAGAAGAGGAAGGGCTGGTTGGTCCAAAATTTGGGAAGGCCTGAGCCCACAGACACTGACCTAGACCCTGGGAGCTAGAGCTGAGAGTGAAGCAGCTAGCTGATCTGCACTGGGGGCAGGCACGCAAGAAGGCCCAAACTTGCAGATACGTACACACTTGACCTAGCTTGGATGGCTTGCTGATCAGAACTTGACTAGAAGAAAATAAGTAAGTTTGATACAGGAAGCAAATTCATCAAATTGCTACAACTTGCTTATGGATGTAGTTGCTCAAAGTTTCAACTGAGAGGGAAGGAGTCTTCTTCACATCAATACATATCATTGATAGGGGTGGCCAACTTAAACACTGGCTACCTGTAAGGAGGAAGCTGAAGGCATGAAGTGGCTGGCTTACATGTTTTTAAGAGTGTACTTAGCAAACCGACCTTGTGGTCTAGTCCGTTATCCCACTGTGCAATATTATTATTTAAAATAAACAATTCTGTGCAGAAAAAAAAAAAAAGAGTGGACTTAGTACTTAGTTTCAGAGTAAGGGGTGGGTAGGACAGAATTCTCACTGAATAGTTTTCCTTTTTTCTAGATGTGTCTGGTTAAAAAAGGATGGGGATAGGATTCTTTTGATTTAATAGTGATTAATTGTTATCATGACTAATTGCGATTATCACAATGGTAAAAGTAGAAGATGTGCAACAAAAAGGCGGCAGTAGTTAATCTTTCATTCCAGGAACAGCAAACGGGAAGAGCATGAACGGGATACTAAAGAAGCAGAAACACCAGAGATGGAGGCAGAGGTGATGGCATGGAGAGAAAGAGCAGCTGCTGACTCTAGACCCATGGAAAGAGAGGGATTGAGTGCTGGTGGATGGGAGACTGGCTTTCATAATGTGTCCTTTGGTGGTTTAAATAAATATATATTTTCTGTGTGTTTTGTGTACACAAGGGAAAAAAAAGAGGGAATAGAGGCAAATACTGTTAACCGATGGTACATGGAGGAGGATGGTAGCCATTGCAATAAAACAAAACACGATTGTTTGAGTGCAAAACTCATGTTCTGCTCTGTAAACTATCACTCAGTTCATAATAAAACTTAAAAAAAAAAAGTGATCTATACATGTTCTCCATGTAGGCAAGATGTTATTCTCAGTGTTAGGGCTATAACAATAGAGCACAACACAGTCCTGGCCTTCGTGAAGCTAACATTGTAGAAGGTGGGAGAAGATAAATAATATCTTAAAGGATGATATGTATCATTTGGTAATGTGAGAAATGTTGATAGGAAGAGGGCGAGCAGAATCTCTCTTAAGCAGTAGGTCACAGAAGGCCTCTGGGACATCAACTGAGCTGATAACTAATGATCAGAAAGAGCTGAGAAGAACATTCCAGGAAGGGGAAACATCAAAGCCTTGAGAAAGAATAATCCTGATAGACTTAAGAAATAGCCTAAAATGACAATGTGTCTAAAGCAGAATGAGCCCAAATTCAGATAATTAGTCACGGGTCAGGTCATGTACAAGCTTTATTTTTTATTCTAAGAGCAAGAGAAAGCCATTCTGTGTATATAATCATGGGCATAACATCTGACATGTAATTTGAAAACATGACCAGTTTGTAGGAATAGACAACAAAACTATGAGTCAAAGCCATTCAGGGAAATCAGCTAGAAAGTTACTGCGGTAATTAAAAGGGAAGACAGTGAGTTGAATTGGAGTTTGAAGAGATAAAGGTGCAATTTGGGCTGTGTTCTGGAAATTCTCATCCATAGGGCTTAAAGACTGGCAAAGATAAGGACTGTGAAGGAATCAAGTATCAGAAGTGAACAAGATATTTTTAATTACGAACATAGGTATTTGATGGGAGGGAGCCTAAAAATCAACAGTTTTGTTTTAACCACACGAATTTGAGATGCTAGATATAGGATGAGTTGCCCTGAAAGCAAACATCATATACTTAAACCTACTTCAGAATTTAAATTTAAAATATTAAGTATTTAGAATATAAATGATAAGTGTGTGATGCAGTGAATTACTTAGTATGACCCTTCTAGCTAGCCATAGTCTTTGGAACTCCCACCAAATGACCATGAAGACTGGGCATATTTCCTCTTTTTCTGATGGGTCTGGGTAAAAGAAGGTGGTGGATGATGCTGACAGGATTATATAATTCAGTTCTGAGTGATTTTTTAACAGGATTAATTGTGATTGTAAAAACTTGGAGCTCTAAGGGGGAGATTGGTCGATTATGTCATCCTGTTGGGTTTTAAGTGAGCCATCATCTCACTACTATCAAGAAAGAAGAGCCAGGCATAACCCACATTCACATTTCAAAGAAAAATATGCATAGAAAAACAACAACGACAACAAACTAGAAAATGGCTGTGGTGGTTATGTGCCGTGGAGTCAATTCTGACTCATAGCGACCCTGTATAGGGTTTCCGAGGCTGTAAATCTTTACGGGAGCAGAAAGCCTCATCTTTCTCCTGCAGAACAGCTGGTAGTTTCGAACTGCTGACCTTGTGGTTCACAGCCCGATTCATAACCACTACGCTACCAGAGTCCAGCACTATGCCCTCCCATATATGTTGCTGCTGTTAGATCCTGTTGAGTTGGTTTCATCTCATAGCAAGTCTATACACACCAGAACAAACATTTGTTACCTTTGAGGCTACTGTGACTGCCACTGTGTCAATCCATCCATTTGGGAGGTCATTCTCTCTTCACTTACCTTCCACTTTACCAAGCATTATGTCCTTATCTAGGGACTAGTTCCTCCTGACAACATGCCCAATGTATACAAAGTCTAAGAGACAAAGTCATCATCCTTGCTTCTCAGGAACATTCTAGTTGTACTTCTACCAAAATAGATTTGGTTGTTCTTCTGGCAGTTCATGGTACTTTCAATATTCTTCATCAACACCATAATTCAAATGCATCAATTCTTCTATGGCGTTCCTTATTCACTATAGAATTTTCATATGCACAGGAAATTATTGAAAATACCATGGGGTTTGGGTCAGGTGCACCTCAGTCCTCAAACGGACATCTTTGCTCAACACTTTATAGAGGTCTTGTGCAGCAGAGTTGCCTAATGCAATTAAGATCATCAGTACAACCATATACAAGGAAAAAAAGTCATCATCTTACCTCCTGTTCTTCCATTGCCAATCTGCACAGCAGGTTGGAGGCTTCCTTCATTTTGCAATAAGTGAGGCAAATGATAATAAATACTTGGCACTTGAAGAGATTTTTTGCTTGTTAACTCCTTTAACAGCTTTAGGGTATTGTCTGAAAAAACAAAGCGTAATTAATCCGTAGGAACACCTGTCTTATAGAAGTGACCAATTTTACAACATGTATCTGCAAAATTGATATGAATTACAACTAAAGAATTTTCTTTCCTAATTTCATACTTTGGTGATCACTTAAAATAAAAAGGCTGCTGCTGCAATGAGGGTATTATGGAGTCATGGTGAAGCCAAGGTCAACCAGAGTACTGTGAGAAGGGGGAATGTAAGTCACTCACTTTACAATGTGTCAGAACTCAAGTTCAATGAGGAAACTCTAAACACGCGTCCATTAGTGAAAATGTAGAAACGCACACACTGACCATCAAGAACTTCCATTTTCTTTATGCTATTTGTAGTTGTGTTCCATGGAGTCAGTTCTGACTCATAGCAACCCTGTACAGGGTTTCCAAGGATGCAAATCTTTACGGGAGCAGAAAGCCTCATCTTTCTCCCACAGAACAGCTGGTAGTTTTGAACTGTCGACCTTGAGGTTAGCAGCTAATTACATTCTGCTAAAATTCCACATGGAAGATATATATACACAATTTGAGAATGTTTGACATAGATTGTAACTTTCCAGTACTTTTTCAGTTTTCATTAGACGAACCAGTGAAACATTTAATATAATGCACAATAAAAACTCAGTAATATAATATTGTTTCAATTCCCATTAAATTACAACATTCAATATTTTAAATAAAGGAAGTTGGCAATTAGGGCTGAGAGTCTAATGACTTCATGCAAAAATACTATGAAAAGTCCATTAAAAAATAAGGGCAAGAACCAGAAATTCACAAAGAAATGTAGATGTCCATAATAAATAAAATTAAAGTTTAACCTCATTAGTAAAGAAACAATTACAAAGGACAAAGTTATCAATTTCTACTTACCAAATTAACAGATTAAACAGTAAAATTAAGCCACAGTGATAATGTCATAAATGTTTCAACTATTCAGAACAGCATAAAAATTAAAAAAAAAAAAACTATTGTACTGTATGTTCCAGCCACTGTGCTGTGTGTTTAGAATCAGCAGTTTTCAAAACATAGATCCTGTTTCTAGGAAAGTCACAATCTAAGGCAAAACATTTCAGAACTACCAGAAATGTGGTCAGATTTATATACAAAGATGTTCATGACAGAGTTATAAACTTGGGGTAGTTAGGCGGGGGAAGAACAAAAGAAGGGAACAAACAAACAATACCCAACTGCCTAATTGCAAAAAAGCCCCATAAAACATTATGATATGTGATGAGCTGGCATATTATTTAAAATGCTGTTTTTAAATTTTTAATATATAATATTAAATATTAAATACTCAGAATAATATCAAGAGGAAAACTCAGGCATAGCCCACATTTGCATTTCAAAGAAAAATATGCATTTAAAAACCCCAAAAAACTAGAAGGTAACAAAAAAATGTTAACAGATCTCTTGGAAACAGGCTTATGGGTGATTGATTTTCCTATCTGGGTCATTTCTTAATTTTAAAAGCTAGCATAACTTCATTCAAATTTTATAATCAGCAGGGGAAGCAATAAACATGAAACTTGAAAAATAAGGTAAGGCAGTAGACCTTAAGAGTTTTTTACTACTAGTAAAAAAACTATTTAAAATAGGTGAGATTAAATGAAACAGTAAATTATTCTTGGAAAATTATGCAAAAGTTGAGGCCACTGATTATATGAGAGAGCTTCCAAAAGTTGGTGGAAATTTTTCATTATCTGTTCATTCCCTTCATATACATGTATTGATTTAACAGTCTGAGTTAAGAACAGTATAGAAACAAAGGGCAGATGATTGAAATTCATTCAATTTACTCTCATCAGAAGCTCTCAGAAAAGAAATAGGTCAGACTATCCCCAAAGTATCCCATTATAAAAACTATGTATCCTGTTCATTGTAAATTGCATTTAATAGCTCTAATTGTTTCTAATAGTCAGAAGAGTCTCCAAAATCCACCTGAAGTCTACATTGTTGTTGTTGTTAAGTGCCATCGAGTCAGTTCCGACCCATAGCGACCCTCTAGAGGGTTTCCAAGGAGCGACTGGTGAGCTTGAACCACCAACCTTGTAGTTCAAACCAACTGTGCAGTCTAGTGTATTAACCCACAGCGCCACACCATGACGACTCCATAGAAGTCACAAAATCAGTATGTACAAACACATTTTTAATCTTACTTTTGTTGTTTTCAAAAGATGCAGGTTTTTCACTATTGTCAATGAAATTTGTACAACTGTAATTTAGCCTAATAGTACTCTCAAAATCAAACACGGCAACTAATTCAAATTGTTTAATAATTTAGCATAATAGTAAGTTTTGTGGCGATTTTTCTCTCCAAGTGTGAGATTCACCAAAAATGGTAACAAATGCTGGCTGATAAACTATTCTACATAACTTTCAAATATAATATTTCACAAACTTCTTTGAGAATATATTTCTTATAACACGCAAAATAACATTTTAATCTGAAAATTTACTCATTGCATACTTACTTCCATTTGTTTCTGCCCCCACACGCTTGAATTGCTGTACAATGGTATTTAATTCAGAAGAACGCTGTGAGATTCTATGTTCAGCTATTTGAAGTCGTTCTTTCAAAGCAAGAAATTCTCGTTGATAAGCAATCAGTTTTTCTAGAACCAAAAAAAGAGAAATTCTTAGTGTATTCCTTTTCTGGAAAACAAAGTAAAACACAAAACCAAAATTAACAATTTAAAACAGAACTGTAATAAGAGATTATAAACTTTAATCAGTCACATTTTTAGAAGAAAGTATTTTCATTCATTGAGACAATCGAAAACTAAAAAAGAAAATAAAATAACATGTTAGACAACAAAAACAATCACCAACTTAGTGTTGTTAATATTTGGAAAAATGTAAACACTCTCTACTTAGCATTTCAGAAATTTAAATTTGGGGAGAAAGAGAAATTTTTAGAATTAACTCAACAAGCAAAATATTAACTTAATTTCTCCAAAAGATCTAAGCAACCCATTGACTCAGGTAGTACTGAAATGAAATGGATGCAACACTATTTGCATCAACCAGATAAAGAAATGAGGCAGAAATTAACTATAGTATGTATGAGGGATATTCAAAAAGTTCCTGGTAAATTGGAATTAAAGTAAAAAATTGAAATATAAACTTCATTTCTCAACAGAAGCTCCATTTAGGTCAAGATATTTTTGTAAGCAATGATACCAACCATTTTGCCCATCCCTAAAGAGCTGAGGCTCCTAGGAATTTTTTTTTTTTTAACCACGGCAATGCAGTCTTTTTTTATATTAACTGAAGAAAAATGGGTGCCCTTTAAAGATTTTCTAAGATTAAGAAATAAAAAGAAGTCAGAGGAGCCGAATCAGGCTCAGGACTATAAAGTGGACGCTAATGAGTTCCAGTTGAAACTCTCATGTAGCGCCCATTTGATGAGAGGATTAAGCAGAAACATTTCTTCGGGGCACTGTCCCCCATAAACATTTTGTAAAGCATCAATGATTTCATATTCTTCCACCTGAGCTTCACCATAAATTTGATGTCTGTTCTTGCTTCAATTTTTGCAGAACTCATATTGCTCTGGTAGGGGCTCTTTTCAAATTGGTATTTTATACTTCTTAGTGCCTCAAATTAGATCCTGTTCAGACAGGTCAGAACAAGTTTGTATGACTTTTATTTTGGTGTTAAAAAAAAAAAAAATGTCCAGGAACTTTTTGAAGACCCCTTGTATAGACATAAGTGATGTTTTTTTTAGCATAATGATAAATGCTCATGGGCTAACTGTGTCCTCTGTTCTGCCTATTCTACTAAAATTTCCCTTTGCCAGACTTTGGCCAAATCTCTGATCCCTAAAATCTCAATCAGTTACATAGAAAATGTCCCTAACTAATTTGAGAGAATCACAGGTCATGAAAACCTGGTCTTAGAAACACGTATTTTGATGAAGCTACATTTAATGGTTGGCAAAAAGGGCACTAAGTCAGGCTATTCGGGCAAACTGCACATTGAGAAAAGAACCAAAAACACAAAATTAAACAATGTTATCTAAAAGCTGGAATCCTGGTGCGTCTCTGTAGGATAAGCACTGGAGTGCTAACTGCAAGGTTGGCCGTTCAAACCCACAGTTGCTCCTCAGAAAACCTATACAGAGTCGCTGTGAGTTGGAACCAACTCAATGGCACTTAACAACATTTAAAAGCTTGTGAAGAAGAAAAACCACACAACTCTCTTAATCAGCAGTACAAGTGGTTATGAACCATTTCTGCACAATCTCATAAGTTAATAGAAACTAGAGCAACGGTTTTCAACTTCTATTATCAAGTTACATAAACTGCTATTTTGTTATCTAAGCTAACTCACAGAGATGCTGTACGAGTATGGGTTTCCAAGGAACAGCTTGTGGGTTTAGACCACTGATCTTGTAGTTAGCAGTCCACTGCTTATCCTGCAGTGCCACACCAGAACTCCAAACGAAATCTTAGCAAAGCTATTCTTTTTTTTTTTTTTTCTTCCTTGGGAAACTTTAACTCAAATTATTTTTGTTTTTAAAAAACATCATAACAAACACTGGAGAAGAAAGCACATACAGCTTCCACAGGAATAAGAACAAACTAAACAGGTTTGATGGTTGCCTCAAGTGATACTCCCTAAAAGAAAAACAACATGGAATATTTATCCTTTCTTCTTTTGAGGCAGGGTATGAACTACACAATTCATAAATAATATTTTCTTACTTTATAAGGAGGAAGAACTGAGATCTTGATTCTGAGGCATATTACATACAAAATACAAAATCTACCATTTTGGCCAAGATGAGGGAGAAAAAAAATCATTCTTCAACATTTCAATTCTCATGCAATTAAGTCCAAAGGCCTGTTGAATCCACCTTTTCGATTTGTGTAGCGCCTGTACTTCCTCTTCTGAGACACATTTACAGCATCACCATTTACAGAGCCATCCACCTTCATCCCTTTTGTGGAGTCAAAGGAAGCAAACTCCATTAACTTCACCACTTCTATTTCTTCCACCATTTTGCCCTCTAAGCCCTCCTCAGTAATCTGACATTCTTTGCTCTTTGTTTCTTTCTTTTAGTAGAGAAGGGGAAGGGGAAGTAGATCTATGTTGTCTTGGTGATCTGGAGCATCTTCTGTGTGGTGACTGAGAGCTCCTCGTTCCATTTCTTTCCCGGGACTTAGACCTTTCTCGGTGTCTGCATTCTCTCTCTGGAGATGTGGACCTGGACTGCCTTCGCTCTCTCCGTGGCGAGCAGCTGTGACCCATTCAGAATCCTCCTTCTACTTACAGATGCAAAGCTATTCTTTAATTTAACATTCTGACCTCTGCTTTATTCAAGGATAGACTCAGTAAGGAACAACTTTATAAGAAATGAACCTTCATGTTTTGAAAAGCTGGTCTTAAGAACACTATCAGTTATACTGCTCCTTGTTCCTTATATAATGGCCTACTCAGTAGATGTCTCTTAAGAATTTTTTTTTTTTTAAATCAGGGGCAAAAAATTGTCTCTCATGCTTAACTGCCATGATTCTCTGCATTGAATAATGAGGGCCATGCAAGCCACTGCATTTTTCTTAATTTGATGGTTCCACGAAGATAAGAAGAAGAAAGAAGGTTATAATTAGGAAACAGCATACAGGGAGCTTCAGTTAGCAAAGTTCTAACCTGGGAAGTGATTTTAAAAAATGCATTACTATACATTTGCAGTTTAGGAACTATGCGGTATATGTAAAGTCACAATTTTCAAAGATTGCTTAAGAAGATATTATTCACGATTGCAACAAGAACTCTAATAAGCAATTATAAGAAGAAACATGCAAGATTTGTGTGAAGAAAACTGCAAGCCTTTTACAGAAGCACATAAAATAATAAATGTGTTTTATTCCTCTTATTCCTGAATGGGAACACTCAGTCTTATAAAAAGACGAAGTTTATCCTAAATAAATTCAATTCAATACACCTATCTCAACAGCAATGCATTTTAAATGGCATTTGATATATGACTCTAAATTTCACCTAGGAAAAATAATGTTTAAAAAAAAGGCCAAGAAAAATCTAGAAAACAATTCAGGAACAGTTGTTCAGTGAACAGAATACATTATGTGGCTAGAGAAATGAAAATCATTGGATAAGGGCAGATCAGTCAAAGCAGAAGGTTCCCAACAAACAGCATGAGGAAATTGTCCTTTGAGTTCTTCTCACTTTATGTGTGCAGTGGTAGAATAGTCCCCTTAACAGTTAAGCAGTGCCAGCATATTGACTTTTTTTTTTTCCCCACTCAGGCATATATAATAAATTACATCTCCAAAGGGCACATTCTGCAAGTCTGCTCCTGGCCACCAGTTCTTAGTCCTTCTCTTTTTAGTGATGAATCTAGAGTCCTCCATGCCCCCATCTCTACCTCCATCTCTGGTGCTGCTGCTTCTCTGGATAAGGTCCCACATTCTATTTGTGTGTTCCTCTCTTGATGGTCCTAGGGTCTTCTGTTTCTGGACTGTAAGATTAATCACTCCCCTTTTTTTTGTTACAAAATTTCTACCTTTACAATTGTGACAGTCGCAATTAGTCATGATAACAGTTATTCACTACTGAATCTTACGAATCTTATCCCCATCTCCTTAGCATATTGACTTTTAAACACCATTTGCCACTAAAAAGAACCAGAACTCTTTAGAGAGGAGTTTCCATGACTCTAGTACATGGGCCTGAAACTTTAAATGAATCTGGAAGTCTTGTGTCAGAATATGAATATGCTCAAAAAATTATGGGATATATCAAATGGGCATAGGGGACTAATTCTGAGAGACTTCCACTGGCCAAATCTAGGGCCTTTTAAGAACTGAAACAAATAACATTAAAAATAGATTATCATCTATGGAATAATATAAGAATCCATAAATCCACATCAATAATAAATAAAAACAAAGAGATGAGGGAAATGTCTTTCTAACAGTAGACCAACTAATAAGTGAGGAACGAGGAAAGTTGAAAAGAAAAAAAAAAAAATAATTGTTTTTCAACCATCATTGTAATAACCGATTCAAGCAAAGCACAAAACATGGACATAACAAGTGGCTGGAGAAGTTTGATAAGGGCTGGATTTACAACCTGTTATGTGTCCTGGCATCCTGGTGTGGTGCTGTAAGATAATCACTAGACTACAAGGTAGGTTTGAACCGCAAGGTCAGCAATTCAAATTCCCCAGCTGATCCCTGGAAATCCTATACAGGGTCACTATGTGTTGGAATCAACTCAACCGCACTTAACAACAACATCATGAATGCTCATGTGGCACTAGAATAAGCAGACCACAAGTTAGGTTTGAACCATAAGGTCGGCAGTTCAAACCCATCAGGCACTCCTTGGAAACGCAATACAAGGTTGCTGAGTCAGAATTGACTCAATGGCATTTAACAACTTAACAACAATGGTATCTCTGCATGTATGAAAATGATTTTACATTACAGAAACCGAGGAGATAATTCTCTTACTCAAGTGATCAAAGCTCACACCTGCCATCATGGGAGAGACAGTGTGTGTCTCCTGATGTGATGCACGGAGGATGCCTCATTTATGTGATATCCTGCCAAAAAGGTATAATCTGAGTCCACTCTCAAGGAGACAT